GTCAAATCTCTTGTTTAAGATTTTTAACCAAACACTTAAGTGTGATATTAAATAGTATGAGCGTTCTAGAGTTTGAAGATTAGCGGGAGATGATCTTCAACTTCCTAGTATGTTCATATCATTTGGTAATATATGATTTTGCCTTATGTTAAAGTTTTCTACTATTCTATTTGGGTTTTCAAAATCGATGAGTGTTCTAGATTTTAAATGTTTTCTTTAACTTTTTTTTTTTGTCAAATCTCTTGTTTAAGATTTTTAACCAAACACTTAAGTGTGATATCAAATAGTATGAGCGTTCTAGAGTTTGAAGATTAGCGGGAGATGATCTTCAACTTCCTAGTATGTTCATATCATTTGGTAATATATGATTTTACGTGAAAGATTATTTGAGTTTTCAAAATTGATGAGTCTAGGTTTTGAATGTTCTCTTTAGTCAAATTTCTTGTTTAATATTTCTAATATACTTATTCGTCATCAAATCTCTTGTTTAAGATTTTTAACCAAACATTTAAGCGTGATATCAAATAGTATGAGCGTTCTAGAATTTGAAGATTAGCGGGAGATGATCTTCAACTTCTTAGTACGTTCATATCATTTGGTAAGATATGATTTTGTCTTATAAGATTTCTACTATTCTATTTCGGTTTTCAAAATCGATGAGTGCTCTAGGTTTTGAATGTTCTCTTAACATTTTTTTTTTTATCAAAATCTCTTGTTTGATTTCTTATGTACTAAAATCTCTTGTTTAAGATTTTTAACCAAACACTCGAGTGTGATATCAAATAGTATGAGCGTTCTAGAGTTTGAAGATTAGCGGGAGATGATCTTCTACTTCCTAGTATGTTCATATCATCTGGTAAAATATGATTTAACGTGAAAGATTATTTGAGTTTTCAAAATTGATGAGTGCTCTAGGTTTTGAATGTTCTCTTTGGTCAAATTTCTTGTTTAATATTTCTAATATACTTTTTCGTTGACAAATCTCTTGTTTAAGATTTTTAACCAAACATTTAAGCGTGATATCAAATAGTACGAGCGTTCTAGAGTTTGAAGATTAGCGGGAGATGATCCTCAATTGCTTAGTATGTTCATATCATTTGGTAAGATATGTGTTAAAGATTTCTATTATTCTATTTGGATTTTCAAAATTGATGAGTGCTCTAGGTTTTGAATGTTCTCTTAACATTTTTTTTTTTGTCAATTCTCTCTTGTTTAAGATTTTTAATATACTTTATCGTCAAATCTTTTGTTTAAGATTTTTAACCAAACACAGAAGTGTGATCTCAAATAGTATAGACATTTAAGAGTTTGATGATTAGCGAGAGATGATCTTCAATTCCTAGAACGTTCTCATCATTTGGTAACATATGATTTTGCCTCAAGTTAAATATTCCTACCATTCTTTTTGGTTTCTAAAAAATTATGAGTACTGTTGGTTTTGAAGATTTACGAGTTATTATCTTACCATCTCTATGAAGTCTCTTGGTACAATTTTTTATTTGTTAAAGATTTCTAATCTACTTCTTAGAAAGTTTTCTAACTAAAGATTTTTCATCCAAATCTCGTGGTTAAAGTTTTTTGATGTACTTTTATGTTAAATCTCTTGTTTAAGATTTCTAACCAAACAAGTTGTTCTTCAACTTCCTAGTCTATTCATTGGGTAAGATATGATTTTTCCTTTTGTTAAAGGTTTCTACTATTCTATTTGGGTTTTCAAAATTGATGAGTGCTCTAGGTTTTGAATGTTCTACTATTCTGTTAAGTTTTGAAAATTAACAGGTTATAACCTTGAAATCGCTATGAAGTTTATATTTATTGTGGTATCAAATAGTATGAGTTTTCTAGAGTTTAAAGATTAGCGATGATCTTCAACTTTCTACTCTGTTTATATCATTTGTTTATATCATTCGGTAGTAGGATATAGATTTATCTTATATTAAAGATTTCTACCATACTATTTGAGTTCGCAAAATCGATGAGTACTTAGGTTTTGAATGTTCTCTAATTATAATAGATTTCTCATCAAATCTCTTGTTAATGTACTTTTAAGTCAAATCTCTTGTTGAAGATTTCTAACCAAACACTTATGTGTGATCTCAAATAGTATGAGCGTTCTAGAGTTTGAAGATTCAACTTCCTAGTATGTTACATATCATTTGGTAAGAAATGATTTTGCCTTGTGTTAAAGATTTCCTCTCTTCTATTTGGGTTCTCAAAACTGATGATTTCTCTTGGTTTTGAAGTTTAACTGGTTATATAATCTTCAAATCTCCATGAAGTTATATTTATTCGTTAATGATATCTATTCTACTTAATAAGTTCGGTTACTTAAGATTTTTCGTCAAATCTATTGTTTAATATTCTAAATATACTTTTTCATTGGTAACCAATTATTAAATTGTGATCTCAAATAGTATGAGCGTTCTAGAGTTTGAAGATTAGCAGGAGATGGTCTTCAACTTTGTAGTATGTTTATATTATTGGTAAGATATGATTCTACCTTATATTAAAGATTTCTACCATATTATTTGATTTCTCAATATTGACGAGTACTCTAGGTTTTGAATGTTCTCTTACTAATACTTTTTTGTCAAATCTCTTGGTGCAATTTTTTATTCGTTTAAGATTTCTTATGTACTTAAACACCCAAGTGTGATCTGAAATAGTATGAGGGTTCTAGAGTTTTAAGAATAGTGGGTGATGATCTTCAACTTCCTAGTATGTTCGTATTATTTGGTAAGATATTATTTTGCCTCATGTCAATGATTTCTACCATTCTATTTGGATTCTCAAAATTGATAATTACTCTAGGTTTTAAAGATTAACGGGTTATGATCTTCAAATCTTCCATGAAGTTTGTAGAAAGTTCGTTTAAGATTTATGCCAAAATCTCTTGTTTAATATTTTACATATACTTTTTCGTCAAATCTCTTGTTTAGGACTTCTAACCAATTACTAAATTGTGATCTCAAATAGTAGAGCTTGACGATTAGCTAGGGATGATCTTCAACTTTCTAGAGCTGGAAGATTAGCGGGAGATGATCTTACTTAATTTTTTTTTTTTTTTTTTTTTTTTGTCAAATCTCTCTGTGACTTTAAGGTTTACAGTTATATACAAAAAAATAATATATATGTTGTAAGTGGAGAGGGCAGAAACTTAGCTTTTCTCTCGTCATTTCAATGAAAATCCATGTTTTTTTTTTATTATTGTGTTTTTTTTATGCGATTTCATATGTAACAGTTCATGTTCATCGCAAACAGATGTTGTCTTATTTGGACTTTCTATTTCGAGCTTTCGTTCAAAGTTTTGAAGACGCGTCTGCAAAGGAGAGGTTTCCACATTCGGTGTTTTGTTCTCCTCCCCAACCGATGTGGGATCTCACAATTCACTCCCTTTGGGGCCCAACATCCTCGTTGGTACTTGTTCCCTTCTCCAATCGATGTGGGACTCCCAATCCACCTCCTTCNCTAACCTTTCTTTAGGTTTGTTTTAAAAATAACAAGTGTTTTAGAGTTTTTAAGTTTAGCGAGAAGCGATCTAAAAATATCTAGAGATTTCAAAAAATTGGATAATTAGATAGTTTAAGAAGATAATTTGAACATTAGCGAGAGATAGATCTTCAAATCTATATTGAAGCAATTTCAATAAAGGCCAAGTGCTAATCTTTATTCAAGGTTCTAAACCAAGCGCCCGTAGGTTTGATCTTAAAAATCCCTAATTATACAATTTTGTTAAATCTCTATAAAAACTTTTGAAGTTCATCTAATTATACAGGTTTGAAGCTTAGTTGGAGACGATCTTCAATTCTATATGGAAGCTATCACAATGAAGACTTCAACGTTCTTAACCTAGCACCTTAGGTTTGATCTTAAATTATATAATTGTTCTAGGGTTTGAAGTGCAATGGAAACTTTTTTTTCGTACTTACAAATATCAAATGCAATTTTTAAGTGTTCATCATGATGGTTGTTCCCTCTAGGATTTGAATATTAGCAATTCCGTTAGAGAATTCGTATTATTTGGTAACAAATGGTGTTGCTACTTGTTTAGGATTTCTAATCACACACTTAAAATATGATCTCTCATTGTATGAGCTTTCTAGGGTTCAAAGATTGGCGGGAGATGATATTCATTTTTCTGGTAGGTTCATGTCATTTGGTAAGTAAAAAAATCTTTCTTGAATTCTTCTTTCCCACTCATAATTTACTTTTAAGGTACGCTACGTTAGTTCTTACTTATTAAGTTGTATTGATTCAACGATATGAAGTAGGATTTAACCAAATTAATTTTACCCTCATATTTCTTAAGACAGTCCAATAGAGACTGCATTGCTATGGCTGCTCATCACTATAGGCTTAATTAATGCATATCGGCTAAACCACATGCATATCAGCACCCTTTGTTGACCTTTCAGGAGACATGTTGTAATGTACAGCGGCAAGATAATAGATATTGAGTCGATGGTCAATCCGACATTCAATCCTTTTAGAAAAATGATGATAAGACTTGTTAAGATCTCTTCTATGTTGAGAATCATCTGTTTTTCCCCCATTTTGATTGACCTTGACCGGTCATTACGGGAAAATCAAGTCCTTTACTGCTTGGCCAATATGTGTTAAACGGAACCTTCTTCAAAAATCTTTCTAAAGGTGGATAATGGGATGGTCGGCTGCTTTGACTTTTTCTTTTTCCAATGTGACGAAAGAAAGCAAAGAAACTCAAGTTGGAGAAGATGAACATACCGTTAATGGTTAGTTTTTCAACCTTTTCTGTAACGAATTTAAAACTAGCCATTTTCATCGGTTTTATTGTTTGACTTTATTTTGGGCATATTGAGGAATTTTGGAGAAGTTTGTAATATCCTCGAAGACCCGAAACAAGCTCCAAAAGTCTACAATCAAGTAACCATATGGAGCAAGTTTCTACGAAATTACTTGTAGGAGTCGATTAAGTTTGAAGGCAATGATTGAGTATTATGTTTATGAGCCTAATTTGACTTAGTTTCATGAGAATTGTGCTTAGATGATGTGAATAGCTTACCACTTAATTATATTTATCGTCATATAGTTTCCGCATGCATGATCTTGTGAACTCAGGTAGATAATTGGACTTACATGAGGTTGGATTATTATCTACATGAGGTTGGATTATTATCACTTAATAAGCATGATGAGCATGTTGTATGTCTTTATTCATTGTTATGCATTGATTTAAGGTTTGGATAGTCCATTATTGCCCAGGCATGAGTTGAACTAATTGCTATGTACATAGAGTGCTAATTATGGTTTCCATAGAATATGAGTTACTGTTTCACGTATTTTGGTCCTAGCACCTAGTCATGAGTTCCATAGTCTTCTTGGGTTGACTAGGTACCTTGTAGGGACGGATACGAGTTGCAGTTCATATCGGTAGTTTTATGTTCTAGCTTGGAAGGAAGTTTTAGTCATATCGGTAGTTTTGCTAGGTACCTCACTCACTCGATTACCTGGTCGAGGAGGAAATGTGGCTACGAGCCAAACTGCATAGGACCCAACTGACACTCTTAACTAAAGGGGAGGGTCTAGGGGACCTTACACCCTAATGTTCTAATACTAAACAACAGTTCTAGTCTATGCATCAATTTGGTCTGCACTGTGTTAACTTTTTTCATTGAAAAACAACAGTATTTGGAAACACTAAACAATTTGATGAGAAAGAGTAACATGGAATATTAGTATACTTGTTGGATACCAGGACTGCTTATTTTTCATTAGTTGTGTTCAGGTTGTTTCATGGACCCATAATTTAGCAGCATATAATAAAAAGCATATTGATATTGTTATTCATGTTCTTAATCTACATGCCAATGTTTTACTTTTTCGTTGAAACATTGAAATTGTTGATCAGAAACATTGTCGAATTTTCTCTATTAAACCACATCAATCAGTTGCTTTGTGTTTCTCTCCTTGATGTAATATTTTATAACACATGAAGTGCCCAGTATATGCCCTTAGTTGACTTGACTTAGATGATGACATAAGTTGAGTGAACGTGAAGGCTTATTTGAGAGACATTTTTTAAGGCAGTTTTTTGCATTTATTTTCATTGTTATCATTTAAGAACTATGATGAATTGGTTTGCTAATAACATTAAAATTGTTATCTACTTTGAAATTTGAAATTTGATTTACTTTTTTCCTACTTTTTTCCTAGTCCTGTTCGGTACTATGTTCTAGTTTATGTTAGGAAGTGTACATTCAACCCGATAATTCGAATTGACCCAACCCGAATCATAGGGGTTGGTTTGGTTTGGATTATCATTGTGTGTTCATGTTGTGATAATGGTAATTAGCCTTACTTTAGTTGTTTACCTTACAAGGATAAAAAAAATATATCAACATTTCATACTATTTTAAACACATTGGTTTAAAGGGGAGAGGATTCTTGATGATTTTAGTTATTTCTCACCTAACAATAGAATTGAACATTTTGTTATAAAACTGAGACGTGTAATGTTAAATTCCAACGAATTTATTATCTCTTTTTGCAACATTGTTATATGATTTTTTTGCAAAATTCAAATAAAGAAAAAAAAATTAGAGGGTGGAATATATCTCACCTACAAAAAATATCAACATTGTCGTTCCTAAGTTATTTTTATAGTAACCATGTTTAAAAAAATTTAAGTCATTTCTATAACTAAGATTTACCATTTTTATTTGTTATTGGTTATGATGAATGTGTTCTTTTTTTTTTTTTCTTTATAATGACGTTTACGATGATTTTTTTAATAATTATAGGTGATTTGTATGATGATTTTTTTTTAATAATGATAGGTGATTGTAAACTTTTAATATCTTAAATTTTTAATCTGTATTTATTTAATTTTAAAACTTTAAGAAGACTAATTTTACGCCAACTTTGAAAATAATAATGCAACTCACTTCATCACATAAATATTGACTTTAAAATATAAAAATTAATATTTTGAGAGTAATATTTATCTCAAGTAAACATTTCAATTCTAATCATTCAAACCAAGCTAAATTTAATACTAAAATTATATAATTTAGATTTTGAAATTTTTACTTGCCTCAAAAGTGAACCTTTGTCATATTCAAAATCACCTCAAAAGTGAACTTTTGTCACTCCAAAGTAGGAAAATTACAGACGAACGAAAGATCAAACGTTAAGTAATGTTTGATGACACTGACAAAGGTAATTGGCATTCCCAAGAATACAAGGTCTTGAATAGATATCTAAAATTTTTTAACACTTCTGTTAAATGCCTAATTTCATTAATAAAATGGATTAAAAGTAGAGCGACGATTATTATCATTGAACCATTTAGAATTGAGCGGAGAGTTGGTTTGTAGAGGATGGACTGAATGAGCTATCAATTATACACCAACTTTACAAAGGTAGCTTCACAGCAGCTTCTTTTTGTTTTCCCTCCCCAACTCCTTCGCGTTCACAACGGCTAATACTTCTCAAAATTCGATCAGGAAGACATCACAAAGACAAGGGAAACTCGAATCCGCCCCCATTTCAACATTATTTCAACATTTAACCATATGATTCCACCCACCAGTACAATTACTCTCGACCTCGAACGCACATCTGCCATGCCAAAACTTCCATTGCCCAACTCGGAATCTGGCACCCTGCTGGAGTCCATCCCAGCATTCCCCCTGCTGCTGCTCTTCTCCATTGGCCACATTACTTGCTCTCGAACTCGGTTTCCAAGCAAGTTATGGGTCAGAGGCATATCAATGTTTGGCCTCCGATGAGGAAGTGTGAAACACACGAGAAATACCTTCTCCATCTACCTCTCACATTTCGGTGTCTCGGCAGAACCTGTTTCCTGGTTGACCTGCTTCTCCTTGGCAAGGACATCAGCAGGAACATACAGGTACTGCTTAGGTAAAAGAGAGTTCTTCATTGATGCTTGGTCGGATGTCATTACCAGTTCTTTCTGAAACTTCTCAGCATGCTACGATACATAATAAACCCCAAGTTAGGATAAAGCACATAATTGAATTTACAACCTCAGTAGGCAATAACAAGGAAGAAGGGAAATGTAATACTTTACCTTTCTTGACTTAAACTTCAATCCTCCAACATCTACAAGATTACGTGATGATGTGGTAGTCAAAGATCTCTGCGGTATTTGCTTCCCGGCAAACTGACCCCTGTCTGCAACTTTTTGGGGGAATGGATTCTGAGATGTAGAACTGTCGTCGTCAGTCTTTTGCTCAGTGTCCAAAGACATTGGTATTTTGTTCCAGTGCTTGCTGAAAACTGTGCTGTCCACGGTTAAATCATCTGATCTCTGCACAGCTTCACTGCACGATTTCAAATCCTCAACGTGCCCCTTTAATGATGTGGTAGCTGATTCAGAGCTAACTTCTGGTAGGAAGAAAGGAGTCTGAACTAGTACGGATCGTGCTACATGGTCTCTTTTAAAAGCAAGAACATCATGCGAACAAAGAACCAGGTCCCTCTGCAGACATACAAAATAGGCTCTTACTCATTTTGTAGAAAAACCGTTCCAAACACTCAAGTCCACAATTTCCTTTTTGTTTTTTTAATTAGTATAACCCCGTCCCACAAATCCGCCCAGGATACAGTACATTACATTACAGCCCAAAGCCCCAAGCACTCAACCAATAAGCTCGTTCTTGTGTATTCAAAATAAGTTCACAAATTCATGAACTAATACTAAGGTCGTTCTCGTGAGGCTAAGCACTCGTATAATTATATCTGTGCTTAGTATTAGGGGAATTAACTACCAATAAAAAAAACTTAAAAAGAAAAAAATGAAAAGGAAAATACCTATTGAAAAGAAATAAAGATCAGACGGAACTAGAATTTTTTAGTTAAAAATGGCATACCTTGATCTTCTCACGCTTGATGATTCTCTCGCAGAGTAGGCGTAATCTCTCAAGTTCAACCTGCAAAAGGAGATGGAAAATTCAACAATATTCTACATCTATCATACAAAATATTAAAACCTGATTTCAGATATAAGCACGTATAGCTAAAGTCAAGCCAGTTAAAAGGTAAGTGTTAAGTTCAAACACAGACATGCATGGAAGGTCATACACGAGACTGGATGTAAGTGGGTAGAATGTGCAATATTATCTTTTTTTAATATCTGAGACCTATGGGTCAATTTGTACCCACCTCAACAATCCTCTCAGCTCTTTATTATTGATTATAATGTGCAATTTAAGCATGCTTACTGATATCGATGACAATAACAAATTAATATTTTAGGACTCTAGGAGCACTCCTAAACCGCCAACATGATTTTGGCCGTGCATTTACCACCAAAGAAATGTATTATGGTGAAGGCCTACCTTCCTAGTCCAGCTATCGCCAAAACGTACGGAAAATAAATTTTGACAAGATGACATCACATCAGAAGAAAATATACATAATATTGAAACTAGGTCAACCAATGGAGTATAGAATGTGCAATTTAAACAGTGCATATTAATATCAATAACAAAAACAAAATAATATCCTATGACTCTAGGAGTACTCCTCAACCACCAATATTTGATATTGGCAGTGCATTGCACCACCAAAGAAATGTAGCGTAGCGAGGATCTACTGTTATTTCCAATCCAGCAGTCGCCAACAAATACCAAAATCAGTTTTGACGAAGATAACATCACATCAGCAGAAAGTACACACTTTATAGACAAGTCCTTCAATTCCAGGGTCTTGAAAACCCACACTACATGAAAGTCGGCTCACAAGCATTAAGAAGTATAAATAATCAAACTAGATGCTACAAAAACCATGGAGAAGAGAAAATGGACTGCACAAAAAACAATTCACAATTATAATTAAAAATGAAATCATCAATGCAACAAGGATAAGTTTTAAACTAAAAAAGTTCATCATCTAATCCAGCATAATCTATCAAAAGTCCACATAAATGTAATCTTATGACATAAGCATCATGTCATAATATAATAGCAAAGTAATTTCATAAGAAATTTTTAGAATGCAAATAGAGTTACCCTAATTTGCTTGACTCTATTCAATTCCTCGATTCCATGTGTTTTGTTCTCAGCCTGTCAGTGTTCGTTCAGTATCAGATGTCACAATCATAAGCAGCAAGAATAGGAATCATTACAAGACAGATTGTAAACCTTTGCTCTCTGCTCTGTGCTATGTTTTTCACAATATGCCCTGTGCTGCAATTTACCACCAGAAGTCTTTACAGTCATGTAACATCCAGCATTTCTAGCGCATGAGGGATGAAAAGCGGACTGACAATGACCATAATTGCACTGAAGACAATGAAATGAAGGTACTTTAATCATCACATTTTTCAATAAAGCAAAGAGTAATGGGAAAACAGTAATTCCGATACTACTATAGCTTTAAATTGGGCATATTGATCAAATGCAAGTTAGTGAGACCTTCAAACAGACACCATACTTGCGGTGACAAATATAGCAAGAGTCCATCCCCTTTGAAACTGTCTCCTGGAATCCCATTAAGAGAAGTAGAATTGAAGATTTAGAATCAACCATAAATACCAATGCTCACACAAAAATATATGAACTTATGAAAATATATTCACATCTAATAGTAAAATGATAACACTTGGCAATTTTACATACCATTCCTCCCACAGGATTTGCTTGTCCTCTTTTGAAAGTTGATTCAAAGACCCACTACAAGTTGACAGTAAACTCAAATTAATGCACATTTGAAGAGGATGCATACAAATAAGTTTTCCTGTAAGCCTTATCCTCTATTGATTGACTATAAGGATAATTATTAAATTTTAAGCGCACAGTCACTATCTTTGACATCTTTTTCTAAATGACCGGAGAAAGCAAGTTAAAATGAGAAGGACAATTACTATATAGATAATTTATGCATTTTACTATATTCCCCAATATAAAATAAGGTTCCTTGTATTTTGAAAAATCATTTTACCTCTGCACAGAAGGCATGGACCCACTGGCCATTTGCTGATTTCCTGAATGCACCTGTGGTGCCACCACATAGACCACATTCTGCAACAAAATATGACTTCTCCCCAAGATTGACAGCTGGCACTCCAGGCCCTCTTGATAGTGACAATTCTTCACATAATTCACAGCACCATGGACCTGAGGACGCTTTAACAGTACGATAGCAATCCAGATGTACAGCAACCTGCTTAATACACCATCTGACAATCAAATTTTTTTTTTTTTTTTTCCTGTTTCACAGAAACATGCAGATGGAGTGTGCAAACCTTGCAGCTGGAGCAGACTAAAATTGGCTTTAATATTGTCTCTTGCCGCCTGCAGATGTCACAGGATCTCACATGTTCTTTACAGAAATCAGACTCTAATGAAGCCTTCGGGAGAGCAACTTTTGTAAGAGTTTCTTTTGCACGAGGCATCAACTGGAAAGCATTGTCAAACATTTCATCACTAGTCACTTCTCAACAGATCTAACATAAAGGTGCAGTAAAGAACCTCAGATAAAATCATGAAAAAAACCTCTCTATGAGTAGATTCTTCATATACATCTTTTCTGAAAGATGACATCCTAGAAGAGGCGGCCGCAGCAGCAGTTGCAGCAGCTAGTACAGCCTGCGCTTCCTTGTGTCTTCTCTCTTTCTTACCCTGTTTCTTGGCTTCTCTGAGCTCACTAAAATACTGATTAATAAGAACGGCATCCCATCTCGTACTTCTTGCTTCATCGATCTCCTTAGGAAGACTCTTAACAACATTACAAATTAAATGATCTGCAAAAACCATTCAAACAAAAGCTATTGCAAAGTAGTACACAAAATTAGTTAGCATAGGATGCTTTCTTGCCCTTTGTGGTGAGTAAACAAGCATCAGACTTTTTTTTTTCCCTCTTTTTGCTTCAATCCTTTTTAGTCTCTAAACTAAAGTTTCTTTCAATTCAATCCTAAACTAATAAAATGTCTATTTAAGTCTTAAAAAAAGTAAATAATATTGATAATAAAAAATAACCTTTTATTCCTTGCTTAGTCCCTAAAGTTCTTATAAAAAAGAACCTATTAGATGTTTACCATTATTTTTTTGTCAATTGTTTCATTAATGAATGATGCAACTTCAAATACGGGTATTAACATGCTACATGGGCATGTACCGAGGTCATATAGGTTGGTTCATGTGAAAATCGGGCAGAGTGGGTAGCTGGTAGAATAATGATAAGAGCCAAAATAGTTATTTAAAAGAAAAAATAAAAAGGAGGACTAAATAAGACCATTT